GTTCCGTGTCCCGGGATGGAGCGGGATGGAGCGGTCAGTATCGTTCCGTGTCCCGGGATGGAGCGGTCAGTATCGTTCCGTGTCCCGGGATGGAGCGGGATGGAGCGGTCAGTATCGTTCCGTGTCCCGGGATGGAGCGGGATGGAGCGGTCAGGATCGTTCCGTGTCCCGGTCCTTTCCCGGCTCTCGTTCCCCGGTCTCGGTTGCGCTCCCGGGGGGCGCTGGCGCAGCGTGGCCGGGCCGAGCGGGGACGATCCTCTCTGGTTTCCTTTGTGCCCATCCCTGTTCTAAATAGCGCCGTAATTACTCTTAATTAGCTCAGTTAATTAGCTCATTGCGTAATTTTCAGTGCTTACTAACGATTTTTTTCCCGTTTGTATTGTTCTGTAGGTGGGAGCGGTCTGTATTTCAGCAAAAAACATCGCTTTTCATCAGAAAACATCCCTKGTTGTGAGCTGAGCAACTTTCCCTCTGTTGCTTCCCTACTTTAGAAATGAATCTTTTGCAAAGAGTCTCCAGTGAAAGCATCATTCTCCAAAAGGTGACACTGTGATTAAGTTATAATTTTTTGCAGTCTGTTTATTGAGGACAATCAAAAAAGAGAATTAACTGTCTATAGTTCAGCTGTGCAGAGGCACCRGTTTTGTCCTGCTGAAGTAAATGGGCTCATTCACACGTTCCACATGTTGTAATCTGAGTTGTAGAGTAGCTGAGGTGCATCCTTTTACAACAGCTCTCAGCTGAAATTATAAATCAGCTGAAATTATTATCTCAGTGCYATGGAATGTCCAAATTGCTTTGCTTTCACCCGGACACAGCAGCCAACTTTTATGGGTGCATAATGAAACCTCAGCCGGCATGGACATTTCTGTGATTTTATAAGCAATGCTGATATTCTTTCTTTTGACTAATGTGATTTCTACATCTGTGTCAGTAGAAGTTGATATTTGTACAGACTGTAATGATGTGGTGTTTAATCTGCTCCGGGTTCCTGAGGTCTGTCAGCACTTTCAGTGATTCCTGTTTGTGGTTTCTCTCTTACCCTCATCTGTCTGTCCCTGCCTGGCACTGCTCTCCTTTATCTGGGACTTCTTTCCCAAAATTTCCACTGTTTTCTGTTACCAGGATCCACTATTAGCCCCTCTCCTTGATTTTCCTGGATGCTTTTGCTTCTCTTAGAAGCAGTAGCTCGCTGGTTTTGGGTTTAGGTGTCATAGTTTGCTGCCTGTTGTTTCTTATCCCAATAGCTGTTTCTTATCCCCAAAGTTGTTTCTTATCCCAAGAGTTGTTTCTTATCCCAACAGTTGCTTCTTACCCTAATAGCTTCTTACTCTTTATGCACTCTGTTGATATCAAAGCTGTTCACTGTGCAGTTACCCATCCCTTCACATAAATAAAACAAGACAAATGTGGGATGAGGTGCAGGGCAGCTGCTCACACAGATGAAAGAATAAATGTGAGATGGTTGCACAGTGGGTGTTGAAATAAAGGGAAATCTCAGATTCCTGGGACACACAGCTGCTTCTGTGCAAGATAAGAGACATTAAAAAAACATCTTCAGTGTGGTTCTCTGTACCTATATCAAACTGTTTAACGTTTCTCCATATTGCTCAGGAGCTTTCAGTGCTTTTAAGTATTTTTAAGTATTGCTCGTGTAAATGTAAAGTACATGAAACCCATTTTCTGAAAGTGCAGGCCACAGAATCTTATTAGAGGAGGAAAACTTTAGGGAACAGATGTGGCAAATACTGAGAAGTGTTGAGACACTTCCTGGCAAGCTKATTTGTGAACATTTGTGAAATTTGTTTCAAAAACTTTTTAAAGAATCATATTAGTTGATTTGAATCCTTCTAATGTCTCCAATCCCTGTTATTTTCTCCTTGGTTTCTTTGGGAAGCAGTGTTTTCTTTTAAACTTTTAAAAGTTCTTTCTAAAAAGTGTTTTTGTCTTTGAGCTCTCTGTTGCCTTTCCTTTCTCTTCCACAGCACTGTGCTGAATGCTGCTAAACTGAACTTTTGCAAAATGATTAATAAACAGCATTTWCATTCCTTTTCAGATTGGAAGCTTTGAGGAGTTGCCAGCTACCCGACTGACCTGCACAGAAATTGTAACCCAAAATTGAGAATACCCTCTTTTTAAMATGGAAGATGTTTTAAAAAGATAAATATGAAAGTGAGTGTTGAATTTCACTTGTTTTATTCCACRAGGAGGGATTTCAGGAAGGCTGGGAAGGGAGTCCGGGCCTCATAACGTCGGTGGAGGAAGAGCCCTTCATCCTCATCCTCTCAGTGCACCTTTGGGCTGTTTTGTGTCTGCAGAAGGGATTCCCCCGAGCTCAGGAGGGTTCTCTGCAATATTCACGTTCTTCAGACAGTTCCATCTCCCTGGAAAATAAAAACATGGAGGTGATTTCCCAGCTGCTGCTGCTATTGTTGTGACTTTTGAAGGATTTTGTTATTTCCTGGTGGCAGCAGTGCAGGGTTTTGTGTGTTGAAATCACGATCATGGAGCTGGAGGAAGGCTATTTTAGCTCTTCAGACTGTCTGTAGCTCATCAGTACCAAAATGCCAAAGGAAAAGCATCAGGTGCTCACCCCACAGCATCCACAGCCTTTGCAGTTGCCACAGAGGGTCCCGAAGAGTCCGTTCAGCACCTGAATCGCACAGAGAACGCCCTGGACCAGACTCATCACCAGCAGCAGCGAGAACAGCGTCAGGTGCCACGGGACAATGTTGGCAGGAGAGAGACACAGGTCCCACAGACTGTGGTCACTCAGGTAATTCCTGCAGGAGAAAAAAGCACTTACAGGGAATCTGTGTTAAATAACCCCACAATGAAAATTGTCACTGCKGGGACACGGCTGAGATTCTGTTCAGGGAGAATTTCCATTGTCACATTGTTCTCTAAAATATGACTTAGTTTCCAGACAAATTGAAGTTTGTCTAAACTAATTGAGTTTCCAGACAATTGAGTGATTTGAAAAAAGAAAACCAAGATATCAGAAGGGAGCAATTGAAGGCGAGTGGTGTTTGATCCAATGGAAGCATTTTTAGTGTTTTGGGAAGAAAAGATCTCAAGCAGCACGTGCCAAATGGGTTTTGTCTCTGTCAGGGGTGGTTTTGCTGCTTTCACTTGWTTGCAGCATTTTTTGGGGGGTGAACAAATAATCCTCTACCTACACACTTCTTGTTTTCATTTTTTTTTTCTCTTTTCAGCCTGAAGTACAGGTTTTTTTGTGTATTGTGCAAGAAATGCTGCCAGATCACTCCTGCCTGGGGCAGACTGCATTATCAATCCTGAGGTGAGGAGGAGTTTAGTGCAGCCTTTGCTGTTCTGTTTTAATCACAGCTGCTCACTTGACTTCAGCCTGAGCTGAAGGATTTGAGGATTTTGGAGGTTAAAAATGGTAAAAATACACGACAGGGAACATGTCTGAGTGGCAGAGCATGAGGAGCGAGCTCAATTTCCAAATGCCTCAGCCAAAATAAAATTGTGCATAGATACCGATGATTTGAATGCCATTAAATTTCAATATAATCACAGAATCACACAATAGTTTGGGTTGGAAGGAGCCTTMAAGATCATCTGCTTCTCATCCCAAAATCAACCAGGAGGAGCCTGTGCTTTTCTCTTTATTGGTCCCTTTGAAACTCAGTAGTTTTGATTGCATTTCTTACATCTCTGCTGCTGAACCTTATCAAGTGATGCTGTGGGCACTTCCAAGACCTCTGTAATTTAGAGAAATTGTACGATTCTCATTTTTACACAATGGATTTGGAATTTCARTCATATCACAAAACATATATATTTTTTGCTGATTGTCTTGTCTTACCCGTCTCGGAAAGGGTAGRTCCACCCTCCTATAGTGAAACATTTGGGGCCTTTGTTTAGGGCTACTGCTGACAAAATAAAGCAATATCCAGCTCCCACAACTCCAATTGCAGCAAATATTATCGATGAAAACATCTGGTGAAGAGAAAAATAACGTTATTTGGGTTCTCTTTGGAACAATGAAATGCACTTTGGCAGCCAAACTGTTCTGTCAGGAGCGAGACTGGAGCCTTGGACCACTCCAGGTATTAAAATCTACTTTATCCTTTTAAGTTAACTCTGGTATCTTGTTGATATTTGGGCCAAATAATTACAGTTTTCCTTCCCTAATCTCCCTTTAGGTTTATTATTAGTATATTTTATTTCCTCACAGGAAATTATCAGTGCGGAATTAAACTCTATTAATCTCATCTATTGATCTCTATTAATCTCTATTAATCTCCATTAATCTCTATTAATAACTATTAATCTCTATTAATCTCTAGCAGTGCGATTGGAATGGGTGGCAAAGTTTGTCATTATTTTTGTGGCTTTCTATTACACCATTTTCATATATACTGATATGTAAGTAAATCATGCAAAAGCAAATGCCATACTTGAATTCTGGAATTCTTTTAGCCATAATAGTTTGTAGGGAGTGTCCTTTATTGGATTAAAATGATCCAGGTGGAGGAAAACCTCCATACTTTCATCTTTAGGTTGGAAATTACCATARCAATGTGAGTTTTTGTTCAGAGCTCATCACAAGACTCCTTTCTTGAATGCTGACTTGCATTTTTCTGTTGCTAAATCTGATTGGGCTAACTTAAAAATTATCCCTATGTAGTACACACCATAATAATGTATTTCTGCTAAAATACAAGATCAAATTTGGCTCTTGGCCGTGCTGATGTTGGTAACAACAACAGGACTCTTGTGGTACAGGGGGCTATGTTCTCTTGCTGTATAAATACAGTCAG